GTTCTTTCTTATTTATCTGCTCCCTTACTTTCCAAAATTAAAAAATATTCATTTATATGGGAGCATGTGGGGGTAGCTCGGCAGGTAAGAGTGTATAGTAACCTGAGTTCATATCCCCAATATGCAGGTAAAAAGGATGTGAACACCTAGAACTCCAGTGCTGGGGGGAACAGAGACAGGAGGATTGCTGGGGCTTGCTAGCCACCAGCTTAACTCTAGGTTCAGTTAGAGACCCTGTTTCAAGGAAATAATGTGCAAGTGACAGAGGAGCCTCCGCCTGCATGTACAGGAGCATGTCCTCCCTGTCACTTGTACACAAATTACATACATACACCATATACACAGTCATACACACGCCATTATACAAAGTCACACACACAAATTTTAAAATTTCTTTGCCTGAATAACAGGATTATTGATGTTGTTTCCCCCTCTCCTTTTACCGTTTAGCACTGAGAAATATATGGTGGGTATACTCTGGCAAACTGTAAAGTGCCTGCACACAACATTCCAGCCATACTGTCCAGCTCTACCACTTGCTGGATCTGTGGTCTGGCAACATTCATAAGTCCTTGTTCCCACATTGTCCTCTGCCAAATTCACAGCATGACAAGTATGAACCTCCCCCACAGAGCTGTCAATCAAATAAAATATAGCCAGGGAGTACTTAGCACAAGACCTGGCACTTCTAATGAACCAATGACTAACTGTCCAGCACTGGCTAGGTATAGTGGTTCATATTATTTACCTGGGTTGTGTCCTCTCAACTACTCAGAAAATCTGTCACCTTTTTGTCATGAACAGATGATGTGACTTTATTAATTACTGGTAGTTTTCAAATAATGAATAAATTAGCTGGGCATGATGGCACAGGCCTTTGATCCCAGTACCCAGGAGGAGGCAGAGGCAGGTGGATCTCTGTGGACCGAGGCTAGCCTTGTCTATAGTGAGTTCCATGCCAGCTGAGGCTACAGGGAGACCTTGTCTCAAATGCTAATAATAATAATAATAATAATAATAATAATAATATAATAAATAATCACAAGTAACCACAAATGCAATGATATTTACTGCTTTTTGTTTTGTTTTTTGGTCTTTTTGAGAGAGGGTCTCCCTGTAGCCCCAGCTGTCCTGGAACTCACTATGTAGACCAGGCTGGCCTTGAACTCACAGAGATCTGCCTGTCTCTGCCTCCCGAGTGCCTGGATTAAAGGTGTGTGCCAACACACCCAGCTTTGTCAAGTATTTTATCTCAGCCATGAGGAAAGCAACTAATAAAGAAAACGGGTACCAAGAAGTAGGGATGTTGCAATGATAAACCTTACCAAGGTGGGGATGGGGGTGGTGCTTAGGCATTTACATTTGGTTTGTAGGAGAAATGTAGAAGAGTTTGGAACTTTGGGCCAGAAAACACCTGCAGTGTTGCAGTCAGAGTATAATAGGCCATCATGGTAGGAGTTTGGAAGACCAGAATGTCTAAACAAGGCAGGAGGTTTTATGCTCAAACACAGAAGAATGTAACAGTAAGTGTGACTATCAAAAGAAAGGTTAATAAGAATGAAACTGTCTTTGGTGATTAATCTTGATTGACAGCTTGATTGGACTGACAAGCACACAGGAGATTATGTTTCATGAGGATGCTTCCAGAGGATTAGAAGATGTGTCTTGAAAGTGGACATCATCATTGTATCAGCTAAGGCCCCAGACAGCTGCTATGATAGGGAGCTTCTCTGCTCTGCCACACCCTCCCACCCTGATAAGTAGAAACCTCTGAAACCACCAGCAAAAATTAAAACTTCCCCCCTTCAGGTTGTTTATGTCAGATAACAGAAAATTGACGAGTGCAGTCATTGCTATAACTAAACCTGACCATATAGTTTTTGAGTCTTTAGAACTGGTGTGTTAGAGGAAATTGGGAGAGTTTAGAGAAGCAGTAGAGAAGCCCTAGAATGTTTAAGCATACATTAATGGAAAATTCTGGAGTGCAGAAGGCTAGACTACTAGTAGAAATTTAGACAGGGACTCTGTTGAGAATTAGACTGGAGGCTATTCATGTTACATTGTAGCAAGGAACATTTGTCCATGTCCTGCAACTTTGTGTGAAGCTGAATTAAAGATGATGGCTTTAAAAATATGGTAAAGGAAATGTCAAGGCAGCCCAGCATTCAGGCTGTGCAATGGTTATCACTACCTGCTTTTAGCCAGGTTAAAACTGAGAAACAAAAGCCAAAAGCAGATTAGAAAGGCTCAAAGAGCCTGCAGTTCTGCAGTTTGGTTAGAAAAGCCTGTGTAAAATCATGAACAAGGAAGGCATGTTTTTTTAGGTTATTAGAACCATTAAAAAGCCAAGTACTTTGCTTTGGGATAATAGGAAAGATACTTTGAAGGCATCTCAGGAACTGGCCAGGCCACCTGTTACAAGTTCCAGGGTATGAGAAGTTTATTTAAAACTTTTCCTTGAAGGTTGGGCACGCTTTTAATCCCAGCACTCAAGTATCAGAGGCAGGGGGTTCTCTGTGAGATTGAGGCCAGCCTGGTCTACATAGCAAATTCCAGACCAGCTGTGGTTACATGGAGATTCTGCCTCAAAAACCAAAAAAAAAACAAAAAACAAAACAAAAACACTTTTCCTTGAGAACGGAGCACTTCTCACAAAGATCTAACTAAGGAAGTATTTTCTTGTGTTTAGTCATTCAAGCACTCAAACGTCACCATCATCATTGTCTAAAGCTGTCAGCAGACCTAAGTGTCATCTCTGCTGATTTTATAGGCATGAGAATGCAAAAGTTATGGAA